CATATATATATTTATATATACATAAACCCGCTAATGAAATGCGTTCAAAAAAGCCGCTGCGCCTGTTGGACCGATACTCAGATGCTGATAAACAAGCAAAAAGAAAACAGAAATTAAAAAAAAAACCCCAAAACTCAACTTCATTTCGAAGACATCATGATGTCATAGGCCAGGCCACTGGCTGCATAATCTTCTCTGAGAGATTTAAGTTGGACTTAAGCAGCATTTCTTTGAATAATCGCACGATATATAGGGGTATTCGGAATGACTCAAAAAGGCGTTTGGCCTGGGAATTCTGTGACATAGGAAATATTTCAAGGAATTCTTTTGAGAGATATTAAGCTTAGATATTTTATATGATGTTTACTGCTTTTTACTTTCTTGATATTTTTCGATCTTTATTTCTTGTTCAACTATCCTCATGGAATATCAATTACGGAAATACAAAACAAAATCAATAATTCATACTGTTTGGATTGAAATGGCAAGTCCGTCCCCGTCTTGGCCATGACCATGACTCTCGAAGAGACTCTCTTCCCACGATTTTCAAAGTTAAATCAACGAAATTCATCAAATTGATGCATGTGTAACACGACATCAGGCTTCATAATAATAATTATTATAAATTATTTGCCTTTGGCAAAAATGTGTCTTGTGAAAGTTTTTCACACAGGAAACGGGCCACAGATTTATGCAACAATCTATGGTTATTAGTTGTGTTTTTTACCATGCAAAGTGCGATTTTTGTGGAGGGAGACCTGAGTCAAGGCTGCAGTTGACAACGTTTGCCGACTGCATACAAATTTCGCGAAATTGTGATTCAGTTTGCGCCCCATGTGACGAACAACTCGTACAGTCGCTAATCGACCTTCACAAGGTAAACCGAAAACGTCACCGAAATATATTTGTGTTCCAGAGAAACCTAATTGACTTTTTATGAACCAATTGGCAGCAATCGACATTGTCTATTTAGCATTTACTTAGCGTAGAGAATTACGCGGAACATGACTCAGTGCTTCGGTATTTTTCCAAGGCATTCACTAATTTTGGGCAGCTTCGACTCATTTGTGTATGTAAAAGACATTGAATTTAACTCCTAAGTGTTTACAAAACGGCATGGCTATTTATGATATTATTAATAAATATTAAACTGTAGAGTGATGTGGGTTTCTGTTTCCCACTTCAAAGCCATCAAATCATGGGGTTGTACAAAATGATAAACCATTTAGAATACCCCAAAAACGAGATATCGTATCGTGAATCGTGAAGAGCAATAAAAATAAATAAAAGAAACCTAAAGACAGTAAAAAGATCAGGTTGAAGACCCAGAAAGATTCAAAAGAAATAAATAAAAACGGTTTTCAAGATGACCTTCAACAAATCTGCTCATGCAAAAATATTTGAATCAAAAACAAATAAAATAGAAGGCAATAAAGGTATTAGTCATTGAAATAAATTACTTGCTTAAATTTTGGTAAATCCTGTTGCTTAAAGGAATCTTCTCGAGTCATAAAACGTAATCTCTAGATCCGTTTGGCCATTAATTTTGAACATCGAGAACTGGAACCCCCCATTCATGGGTTGGATTTCATCATTCATCTCCAGTCAGCTTCATTCAACAACTTTCAGAGCCTATAAAATTCAGTGCGTTTGTGCGATTTGTCATGCACGAGTAATCTTGGCCCCCAACTAAAGTCAAGTCATTCCTCATTTGTCCGTCTTTAATTATGACGATTGTTGCAGCCGTTTGGCAAACCGTTTTGATAAGCCTTTAATTTGATTATCAGCTTGGAGCCGCCATCTGGCTTGCATCGAAATTTATTAAGTATAAAAGGTCGACGAGGCTCGTCTATTTTGGGCCATGGTCTTAATTAGGAGGCCAATGGCAAAGAACAAGCAAAGTCGTTTGTTTTTAGAACTGAACTTTAGCCACCTCATGAAAAGTTGTTAATTGTGAAACCCATTGACATTTATAGGAGAGTAGAACTGGTTGCTTAGAGAGTAGCTGCAAATCATAATCTAATCGATGTGCCGGCGTCTGGGGACCCGACTTAGCCACGAGCCGGGCACAAGCACCCGGTTCGACAAGAATGCCAAACCACTCCGCTGAAGGTAGTCCACTTTTGAAGGAACGGCACGCAGCCAGCAACCAGCGACTGAGTCAACGACAGCAGGCTATTGTTGCTTGGATTCTTGATTTCGAAAAACTGGGGATTATCGGTACACTCTATCAGGTTGATAGAGAAACATATGAGAAAGAGAAGGGAAATAAGCCATAAATAAATATTGGGAGTAGAATGGACTCTTTTAGACCCATATTCCTCAATAACATATCATAGGGTGTCCAACACTCCCCTACATTCCTTGGATAGCTTTCTTTTTTGTGTGGCCTTTTCTTGATATTCTGTTATTAATTTATTAATAGTTTTTACCACCATTGTGTGAGCCCAGCAGCAGCAAAAAACTGGTCGCTGTCGTTACTCTATTGGCTGGTCATGGGTTTTTGTTTATCATGAAAATTCTAAATGACTTGCTCCAGCCATTTGCTAATTTTTAATGGCCACAAAACGTCTCAAAAGCTGGTACAGCCAGTTCCCAAAGACCTTGACTTTCTTTTCAGCAAAAGCAACAAAAATACATATTATATGAGACATTTCTTCAACTCTGCCGGTATCCGACTCTGACTGCAGAGTACAATTAGCCAGGCATAAAAAAAATGAGTCGTGGTCTGAAGTTTACGTTACAATGCGCATTTTGAAAGCAAAAATGTTTATCTGTTGGTAGAAAGTCAAAGTCAAAGTGTTGACAATGACTATTTGTTGACTCACTCGCAATTTCTTTGAGACACGGAGACACATTGGCGCAGATGCCAGATGCGGAGATGCCTCAGATTTGTGGGGAGTTTGTATGCAAATTCTAAAGTTATTACAACCCCTGGTGGAGCATAAAATTGCGCACCTAAACGGATATCCATTTCAGTTTCAAACTTAACAAAAGACTCGGGCCGCATACATTTGTGAACTCTTTGAGATTGGGGTTTTTGCTTTTGTTTAAGGCGGAACAATGGCAAATCAATTAAAGCTTGCCGCCTGGCCAGTCAACTTTTGTCTGTCTTCCGCCTGTAGATTTATTATTTATGGATACAGCACTTCACTGTATGCCGGCTTACGCAGTCTCTGGTAACTAGTTTTCACCTCAGCCACCTAAAACACACATTTCAAGGCAATAAAATCTGCGGTGCGGTTTGGCCTCAGTCTGCGTTTGCGTTTGCTTTTGCATTTTGCGTCTGGTAGTGCACTCCTGGGCGCGTGTCTGCACAAACTGCATTACCATTTCGTCGTTTTGTTTGTTTTGTTGCCTCGAATCTCTGCGTCTCTGCGGCAAATGTTGACCGTGCATGTCATTCGAGTTTAGTTTTGAAAGTTGTTTGCTTCCTGCAATCCACGTCGCGGCAATTTTACCATTTTAATTAAAAACACATCACCTCCAGAGACGCTGCAATCCTTATGCAAAGTGCAATTTTTATGCTCATCTCATCGGTTGGAAAAATTGGAAAGAAAAATCTCTTACAGCGAATAATGTCTTTCTATCGAAGGAAAGGCTGTTGGGAAAACTGAAAGTGAAATACATTGAGTGACAGAGGAAAGGCTGTCTGTCCAGCATAACGAAATCAATCAATAGTAGCCCACTAAAGGATGTGCCACTTCAGGCATGCTTAACCCACTTTCGTACGTCCTAACAAGCCAATTGAGTGCGCATTTGCACTTGAATAGCAATAAAAGCAGCTGTCAAGGGTAGTCGGATGGAGAAGGGGAAACATAAAACCATTTAGTTTCCAACAAAAACAAGTGTACAAAAAATTCAAATTGAATTTACGCGCCACATTTGGCTATCGATGCATCGATTCCTGTTCATCGATAGCTATCGATTAGCGCGCCACCTAGCGCCTTTTTGTCGCAACTACATGTACAGCGCCACCTAGCGCCATACAAATTTCTTTAATTTATTTCGCTTCTTGGTTTTTGTTTGACTTATTTCGCTAAAACCTCTTTTTGCGCAAAATGCAATAAAAGCAAGTATTAAGAATACACCAGTTAAACAGAAAATTGATTCATCAATCGTATAAAATTAAGTGGGCATGGCTAAATGTTCTATATAGATAGTATTATTCAACGGAACAAAGAATATGAGGAATTGGTCGTTTTTTGAATCGAATTTGAGTTCGCCGCAGTTCGCTTTAGCAACAATGAGTCCCATTCACACTGTTGCGGCAACATTTACTTGAAACCCGTTTTTTGGTCAAAATTAAATACATAAAGGTAATTAAAAGAAGCAGTCTTGTAGAAAATGCATTTAAATATGATAAAGCTAAATAGGCAAATCTATATTGCTTGAAATATAGGCAATACCCGATTCGCCGCAGTTTCGCTTTTGCAACAATGAGTCTCATTCCATACACAAACATGTTGCTAATTCCATGCACACATACCCTGGGGGAAATGGATGTTATAGAATTGTGAATACGTTTGTCTTCCAAGGCTCAGTAGGTATCAGGATCGAGATAAATATATACAAGATACTAATAATACTCATGAATAAGTCAAAAACATATCAATTTGAGAAAAGGTCTTAATAAATCATGTTTCATCTTCATATAAACTTAACGAAATAGGGTATAAAAATGCCTATACACGCATCATGTCTTTTAATACCAGCAACATTGCGACTGTTTTTTTGTTGAACTATTTCGTTTAAGCCTTGTTTTAGCCAAAATACAATAAAAGCATGGATTAAAAACTATCCAATCTTGTAGAAAATTTATTCTTCAATGAGATAAAATTATGTGGGCAGAGCTAAAGGTTTTAGTTAGTCAGCATTATTCAATGGAATATCAAAATTGAGCAATATGAACGAATTTCCTTTTTCGTTTGTTTTGATTGACCAATTTCGCATCTTTTTTTTTTGTTTGAATTATTTCGCTAAAACTTTTTTTTACGCAAAATGCAATAAAAAAGCAAGATACACCAGTCAAATAGGATTCATCGTATGTATAAAACTATGTAGGCATGGCTAAACGTGTAAATGGCCTAGAAGATTCTTCCATTGTAAATAAAAACATCGAGTCACATTCAAACAGTGTTTTGTTTGTTTCTTTGCAATTTAAAGATGGCCAGCACCTCTCGTGCCGGCAGGGCTGGCACCTCCCGTAGTGGCAGGAATGCCACTCAATCTTCTCAGTCGCAGCAGCCTGAAGTACTCACGGAAATTGACGACAAAGTGCGCACTATTTTGAAATACATTCTGGATCACTCGGCGGCAAAGATACCAATGAAGGAGAAGGACTTAGTTCCACTAGCTGGGACTAAGCCTGAGCTTCACAGCCGCCTTCCGTTGGTGGCCAAACTGTTAGCGGAGCGCTATGGCATTCGACTGCACCAATTGAATGACGCCACCAAGATGTACATTTGCATGGCCGAGGCGCCCATGGCCTCCATTCACGAATTGACGCCCGAGCAGCGTCCCCAGCTAACGCTGCTTTTCCTTGTACTGATGTACATATTTCTGCGCCAAATGCGCGTCGAGGATACAAAGCTGTATGCAATGTTGGCCATGCTGGGCATCCGCGTGGACGAGGATCACGCCTACTTTGGCAGCAATTTGCGGAAACAAATCGAGGATACCTTCGTCAAGCAGCGGTATGTAAAGCGAGAGCGCTCACAGCCGGATAGTGCTTACGAGGAGGTCAAAACCTACTTCATTTGGGGCTTGCGCGCCAAGGCGGAGTTCACCTACGAGCAGATTGTTGAATTCTCTTCAAAAATACTCAAGCAACACCCCACAAACTTCTCCGAATTGCTGGAGATTGCCAAGTCGTATGATAATAACAATTGAAATATGTATGTACATTAAACTGAAATTTGTTTTTTAATACTTTGCATAGTCGGTGTCCATTATGAGTTTGCCATCTTTATCCTTGAGACGCACGCGCCCATTGGAATAGCGCGTTTCTTGAGAGCCATCCGGATAGACCATCTTGACAGTGCCATCGGGATACTCGCGTCGCTTATTCAGCTTTGTGTGTATCTCCTTCTGGCCATTGGGCAGATTTAGAACCTTATCACCATTTCGGAGCTGCACGAGACGCGTGCCATCCGCATAGCGCCACTCCTCCTGCACCTCGGCATCACTGGGATCCACCATTTTGATGGTATTATTGGGAAAGCGTATCTCAATCGTGCCATCTTTGTGACGATGCTCTGTCTGGCCATTGGGAAACTCCAGTATTTCCAGGCCATCCAAATAGGTTGTGTGCCATGTGTTTGTCTCCGCATAGTAATACTTGACGGTGCCCTCCCTGATGTCAGACTCCTTTATGTCCTTGTTGAAGTACAACATTCGCACGGTCATGGCATCGGCGCTGATCTTCTTGAGGTTTCCATTGGGATACCAAATGTCCTTGCTGCCATCTGCATTTACAATCTCACGCTTGAAGTCTGCAGCCGCTGCGGGTTCGACTGTGGATTTTGCTTCAGCTGCTGCTTGAGTTTCTGCTCGCGGCTCTTCCTCATCTTCGTCATCACTAGCGCTGCTGCTGGGATAGCTTTCGTCCACAACCTCTGGCTTCTTCTTAGGTGTTCGATTTCGATTTGGCTGTCCATAGCCACTGCTTTGACCCCGTGTAGGCACATTGCCACTGCTCTGACGACGGCTCATGGACTCGCGCTGCTTGGCTGTCCCTTTAGAAGGAGGTCCATCCAAGGACTTGGTGCGCCGTCCATTCTCATCGATACGCTGAGCTGAATCCGTGGGAGGCAGCTAAACGAAAACGAATTAGTTCATAAATATGACTTTGATTTTTATAGTTTAAATACATACCACCTTTGGCGCCAGTCTAGCAATATTTCGGTTGATTTCCTGCAGCATTTTGGAGTTGTTCTCGCGCGAGACCTTGATCAGCTCCTGCTCCAGACGCTTGTTCTCCTTACCCAGCAGCTCAATCTCATCGCGAAGAAGGCGTTGCTCCTTCTCCCCGGCCCGCAGTTGGGCTCTCAGGCGTGCCTGCGCCGAGATATGGGTCTGCTCCTTCTGCTTGAGCTGCAGCTCCAGCGACTCTACCTCCTGCTTGAGGGCTGCGATTTCCTTCTTTTCTTTGCTGTTGACATTGCTCTTTTGTAGACGCATCTGCTGATCAAACTTTCGCCGTTCCTCTTCGATCTTCATGCGCTCGTCATGCAGGTAGATCTCCGCTTGGATTTTCTCATCGTGGACACGATCCATGGCCTCCAAGTGGTCTTGAGCGCACTTGGCCTTTTCCAGTTCATGCTGTTGCTTGAGACGTATTAGTTCCATATTTTGTTTTTTGAATTTGGCTATCTCCGTTTCTAATTCCTCGAGACGAGTGCGCACAAGATTCGCCTTCTCTTGTAGTTCTTTAGTGAAAGGCTCGTCTGCGGATTTACTTTGAGCCTCGGACTTATTCTTCTGTTCCAATGCCTGGAACAGAGCGGACTTGAACTGCTCGAAGAGTTGGACATTGGAGCCATCGCCAAGGGTTGTGTCATGCGTGTCATTGGAGTCGGAGAAGCGTACTCGCACTTGATTTTTCCCAACTTGCAGGGGCGTCATTGTAAGATCAGTCGTCTGATCCTCCTCCACCTCGTCGTCGTCGTCGTCGTCATGGTCGTCATCATCGTCATCGTTTATTTCCGTGATCTGGGCCACCTCTGGCTGCAAATGCATTTGCCTCACCTGCTGCGTGACCACAATCTGATCCGTATCGTCCGCCGTCTGACGGCGCTGCTCCTTACGCGCCATGAACGTCCGTATGCAACTGGAGTTCATGTCAAAGTTGCCCTCCAGTGCCTTTTGCTCCAACAGCTCGAATATGCTTACATTGCTGTCATCATCGACTCGCAGCTGGGCGGTGCGTCGTTGAATGAGGGGCACTGGCTTGATGCTTTGTGTATTCAAGACTTTGGCCCAACACACGCCAGTTAGGGGACTAGCCTCAGAGGAATGCTCATCGTCGGCAGCATGCTCTCTGCTTCTCTGCTCTGCGAAACGTACTCTGGGCGACACGCTGGTTGTGCTTGAGGATGCGTAGGAAGACTTGAGGTCTGGCGTGGAATTGCAGGCAGTTTTAGAGCTGATAAGAAGCTTTTGGAAACGCTGCTCATTGGCGTCTGGCGGATAGGATAGAAGAGCAGGAGCAGGAGCCTGTGTAGGTGGCTGTGCAGTGGTAACTTTTTTCGCCTCCTGACGCGTCTTCAGAATACCCTTCTTCTGTGTGGGCGTGCGGAACTGTGGATGCGCGTTTGCGAATTTATAACGAGGCAAATTCTCCAAGCGCAGCTGATCAGGATTGATCTTAAAGCGTTGCTTTAAACCCTCGCCACGACGCAGAAAAGGACGCTTGGGCTTTGCAGGTTGCTGACTGTCGCCCATGGCGTCGCCGCCCACTTCCTCCTGATATTCTGTGTGTCGGGGCATTTGTATGGACACATGCTCCTCCTGCTGACCGTCATCCTCTACATCGGATTCTTCAAATACACTACTCTCCGCGCTGTCCACTTCCTTGTGAACCAGTCCCAACAATTGGTACATGTTTCGCTGTTCCATGCCCAGCATAACGCGCTGGTTGTTTTGACGCTGCTCCAGCAGGCGTTTCTGCTCGTCCTGCCAACGATTCAGCGCCTCCAAGCGCTTCGTTATATCCTCTTGGCTAGTGGCAAGGGCTATGGAATTCTCTCCATCGCTCTGCATAATTGTTTCACATTAAATTTGCTTGTTTTGTTTTTGGACGCTGTACGCGTATTGGAATTCAAAATTGTGGAAAACAGTGCTGCAAAACGTCGCTGAAGAGTGGCAGCACCAGCCAGGGATGGGATTTGGAATTAATGGAATTCATTTAAATTATCTTTTTTTCTTATTTTTATTTACAGTAAACAATTCACAGAATATTATTCATATAGACTGAATCCTTCACATATCTGGGTCCCTTTCAATAGCATCAGGCTCATCAAAGTCACGAACTTGGACATCGGCATCTTCTCCGAACTGCAAAATGTTGTCAATTTGCAGCAGCAGATCGCCAATACTTTCCTCATCCTGAGTGTCCAACGGGAAAAACCGCACCAAACTGTAAATAATGGAAATTAATGGAATAAAATTGAAAACATTTAAATAATTTCTGTGTCAAAATTGACGGGTGGCAACTCCGCACGTAGCCCAGCCCTGACACCTCGAACAAAAGGCATTTTTCGCATCACGAAAGTAAAATGTGCGATTTAACTAAAAACAATGTGAATCTATAATAATTAATAGTGCGTGCTAAAGGGAAAAACTAAAATTTACATAATCGTGTAACAATTACAAAAAGGCGCGCCATAAATTTGCTAACAAAAATACCACCAAAAAATCCCGTGCATCCGGACAAAAATCGCCTAAATTACGGTACAACACTTTTTTTCGGGCAAAATAACGCTGAAAATCCGGTCAAACAAATACCGGTACTACCATTCAAAAATATGGACGAAGGCAGCGGCGCCGACCATGGCATGGACCTGTCCAAGGTCTCCGTGGTCCGCTCCGCCAAGGGCGTTGATATGCTCTGTGTGGACGATTACCTATACCATTTCGATCGCATTGGCAAGAACAACACCTACCGATGGCTCTGCAACCGGCGAAAAGATAAAATAACTCCCTGCAAATCGCGAATCTGCACCATTCTACCCAATGGACTGGACAAGACGAAGCACGTTGTTGTCGATGTGCCCGTCAACCATATCCATCCCCGATGCAGTGATCATGAGGTTAGCAAGGTGGCCCAGCGCAAGCGTATCGCTATTATGAAGAAGAACGATGCGTACAGTTCCACACAGCCGAAAAGAGCTCGACTGTATGAGCGGGCTTCGGGGTCAATGAGGCCACCCGAATTGATTTCAGGCAGCATTAGTTCCTCCTCTCTGGAAGCTCTCCCCTTTCACGTTGACTTCGAGGTACAGGCTCTCTCGATTTAAGCCCCCTCAAGCTCGCCACTAAAACTGTCTGTATTCGCTTATATTTTGCAGGAGAAGGACCGTGTGTACATGCTGCGACGTCGCGATGGCCGTGTTATGGTCTGCATCGATGGACATTTATATTATTTGGGCGGCAAGTCATACAAGGGAGAAATTTACAGATGGACATGCGTCCGGAAGCGGGACATTGAGTGCACGGCAAAGATATGTACGGAGGCCACTTTGGATGGGGGACATCGTCTGCATTTGATCGAGACGGACTCTCACATACATCCACACTACTCGGCCGACAAGCTGATGACCATGTTTTCCAAGCACCAAATCGTTTTGGTCGAGGACGACCAAACCGTTGACGTTCTGCAGGAGTGTCCCAATATAGAATACTTCCATCCGGAGCAGTCGACTATTCAATTTGACGATCTCGATTCGATGATTATTGAGGATTGTGAGGAGAACTATGATGTGTACATGGACGATGACCAGAGTGCAGAGATTTCTGCCGACTTGGAGGAATTTCAGACTGAAGAGGAACAAACGGTGGAGGAGGTGTCGCCGTCACGGAAACGAAAAACCAGTGGCTCTTGGCCAGCGGCATACGATGTCATTGCAAACTATGTCCCTCCGCCCGGCTATAATCCACTGACAGAAACCGATTTAACAAAATTCACATTTCTTCCATCGGCCAAAGGCCGCAGAGTTCTATGTTTGAATCGATTCCTGTATCACTTTGACTCGCAGAGTCGGTCCAACGGCCACATGTTCTTCACATGCATCATGCGACGCACCAAGCATCTGACCTGTCACGTGCGCATCACTTTGAATCCAGTTGGTCCAATGGTGCTGCGCATCAATGGAAAGCATACCCACGGCATAGACCACAAGGAAATCCAGCGAAGACTTTCACAGCAGGCCAAGCTAGATCTTGAGAATCCCCCAGAGCGTCAGCACAATTTGGCCAATACAGAGCTGTTCGAATATGAAACCGAGGACGAAGCTGAGCAGCAGAGTGCCGATGGCAGCTACGAGCAACTGGAGAGCCACTTGCAACACGACGATCAGGAGCCACAGGGAAATATTGTAATGAAAAAGGTAATCGGTATCGATGGCGCCATCAAAATGGAACCCACCAACAAGTCAGTGATGGTTGAATATGTTGAATATGGTTCGGACGATATAAGCTCCAAGGTTGAAATAGGGACCAATGTCACCGAACACAGGACCAATACATCCACACCGTTACCCAAGGTACCGCCACAGCCAGAAATCACGAATATACGTCGCCGTCGAGATGTCGTAGAGCCCGCCAAAACGGAACTCCATCCGGACATGGATTTAACGAAAATCTGCACTTTACGCTCGGCCAAAGGCAGCGAACTATTGTGCGTCGATGGTTATATATATCATGCAAAGAACCGTGGCGTTATATCCCGAAATTATTGGGTCTGCATCAAGAGTCGTGATCCGGAGATCAATTGCAAGAGTCGCATATCCACAGCCACGCAAAAGGATGGCTCTATACGTGTCCTACGCGTATACAACGTTCACACGCATCCATTCAGCGAGGCCGACATCAAGCGGCGCCTGTTCAACGAGATCAACAAAAAGAACAACAAGAAACTCAAGTTTCGGCCACTCCACTTTATTGGCAAGTCGTTGGACCAGATACAACAAGAGTACGGCGACCTGGCCGTTGAGCGTCTGAATGTGTCCAACCTCAGTAACGACATTATGGTCCAAACAAAGCCCAGAATTCCAAGTCCCAGTAAGAATGACAGTAGCAGGGCCTCAGTGACATCCACAACCAAGTCCGAGCCGCTGGAGGAAAATGAGTTCATAGATGTTGTGGTCGAAGACGAAGAGGGGGAGCAGCATGAACAAGTCTCCCTGATAGATGGTCAGTACATAGAAATGGACCATGACAATACGGATGCCATTATTGAGGTTGTGGAAGAAGTTGCCGATGAAATGGAAAGCTACGCTCCCATTGAGTAAGTATTTACCAAAACGGGCGAGGTATGACCTCCAGGGATTAGAGGTAGACTCCTGTAGATTCTTCAGAGTGCCCTGCACTTTATAGAGAGCGATCTCGCCAATTGGGGTGATCCACAAAGAGTATTTTATCTTCGTATAAATATTATTTGTGGCTTGGTTGAAACTTGTTTGAATTGTCATTGAACTGGTGATGGCAGCGTGTCATAGCTATGCTTTAAACCCCCACAGTATACAGAAAGCGAACCACCTCTAAACTGAACACCTGCAATATATAATACACAATCTTTCGAGCAATAACCGGCCCGCCATCAGTAGTGTTTGAAAGCTGCGCGAGCGCACTTTGAATAATTTTGTTGTGATTTTCGATTGAGGTAAATTATGAATATGCAAGCAAAGAAATGCCACAAACTGCCAGCACGTCGAAAAAATCGAGTACCAAAAATAGCTACTAGCAAAAACGCCTCCGAAAATAGATAATTCATTAGAAATAAAAAGAAGCCCACTCTAGAGGCAAATTACTTTCACTTTTTGTGTGTAAAAGGGAAACCGGTTCAGCAAAAAATAAAAATTAAAGAAAACTAATACTTAATTTATTCCAAAACAGACCCGCTTATACAATGAAACTGTATGCCGTATCCGATGGACCGCCTTCCCTGGCCGTGCGAATGACTTTGAAAGCCTTGGATATTGAATATCAATTAATCAATGTGGACTTTTGCGCCCTAGAGCATCGCACCGAGGACTATGCAAAGGTAGGGTATATACAACAAAAAAGGTTCGAAAGAGTTGAAATAATCCAAAATGAATGCTGTATTTCAGATGAATCCTCAAAAGGAAATACCCGTACTGGACGATGATGGTTTCTATCTGTCGGAGAGCATTGCCATTATGCAATATCTGTGCGACAAATATGCGCCACCAAATTGTACGCTTTATCCGCAGAGCGTGATCCACAGGGCATTGGTCAATCAGCGATTGTGCTTCAACATGGGCTTCTACTATGCCCCCATTTCGGCCCACAGCATGGCACCCATTTTCTTTGACTACGAGCGCACGCCCATGTCCCTGAAGAAGGTGCAAAATGCCCTGGAGGTGTTTGAAACATATCTGGAACGATTGGGCTCCAAGTATGCCGCTGGCGACGATGTAACCATAGCTGATTTTGCTTTAATCTCGGCCACCATTTGCCTGGAGGCCATAGATTTCGATTTGTCCCCATATCCTTTGGTCAACAAGTGGTACACAAACTTTAAGGAGGAATACCCGCAGCTGTGGGAGATTGCCAACAGTGGAATGCAAGAGATAAATGCCTTTGAGCACAATCCACCAGATTTATCAGAAATGGACCATCCATTCCATCCGACGCGCAAGACCAAGGCTTGAGAATTATTAATAATTATTAAATAATTTAAAAAAATTATCTATGCTAGTAATTAAGTGTTTAACATATTCAATACATGTGAATATATGCATATTCTTTTAACTCACCTGAAATCCTCAATGAGCGAACCAATGGCCTCTGTAAGCTTGCGATATTTCTCACCAAACGACGACCCAATGGTCAGTTCTCCCATTAGATTGTGCGCATCCGGCTCCAGGTACAGATCCAGCTGCTTTCGCGCATCAGCACTCAGCAGATCCACTTTGGTCAGCACATTCACATGGGCCTGCTCCATGTTGGCCATCACACTGAGGGCGGCCATCGTGCCCGATATAAATTTGGCGCCATCCACCATAAATTGCGAATCGAGGCAGAAGACCACACAAGTGCGAAAGTTCCACGACTCCAGCAGCTGTACCAGCTGTTTGCCCATTTTCAGATGAGTGAACAGCTCAATTTGTCCGGGCATATCAAAGAGAATGTAATCATCGTCCGGCTCTCCCACCATCAGCTCATCCTCGCCGCCGCACAGCTGCGCTTTCAGCCAGTCCTGGTTCTCAATGAGGAACTCCAGGCAAAAGATTAGACCACCATTGGGTCCGTACTGCAGCTCGTCATCCTCCATGGCATCGTCCAGGTGTATCAGCTCGCGTATATCCGCAAGAGGACTGTAGGTAAAGTGTTCGGCTGCCGGGTCCAGATTGACAACTTGAATGTTTCGTTTGGCGTCCATGGCATGCTGCTGCATAAAGCTGCAGTACGTCGACTGCGAGTGAAAGAAATGTTATTTCGTACGTACAGGGTATTCCCCAAACATACCTTGCCGCTGCCCGCAGGACCCACAATTATTTGCGCAAACCGCATGCTGTAAAATTATCAAAAACCAAAAACAAACCAAAACAAAACAAACGTGCCGAGTGACCCTCAGAAATATACCAAAATATACCGTCACATCTTAAAAATATACCGAAAATATACTGACGAATTCAAGTTCTATTTTACATATTCCTCGTTTTTGATATTCCGTGGAATATTACCGTCTATATAGAACATTTAGCCATGTCCACATAATTTTATACGATTGATGAATAAATTTTCTACAAGATTGGATAGTTTTTAATCCTTGCTTTTATTGTATTTTGGCTAAAACAAGGCTTAAACGAAATAGTTCAACAAAAAAACAGTCGCAATGTTGCTGGTATTTAAAGACATGATGCGTGTATAGGCCTTTGTACACCCTGTTTCGTTAATTTTATATGAAGATGAAACGTGATTTATAATGACTTTTTCTGTAATTGATATGTTTTTGACTTATTCATGTGTATTATTAGTATCTTGTATATATTTATCTCGATCCTGATACCTACTGAGCCTTGGAAGACAAACATTTTCTCAATTCTATAACATCCATTTCCCCCAGGGTATGTGTGCATACCATACGACCAATTCTTTATTCCGTTGAATAATACTATCTATATAGAACATTTAGCCATGCCCACTCAATTTTGTACGATTGCTGAATCAATTTTCTACTTCACTGGCTTGTTTTAAATACTTGCTTTTATTGGATTTCTATATAACTTTGAAAATGAAATGCAAAGCGCCTGCGCTTTTAAGCTTACTGATTTTCCCCATTTCAACCCTATGTGCGGTATATTTATCAGATTTGAAATTACAGATTATCGATGACTGCAGCTGTGTCCGCCCTCAGTTAATTAAATCGTTGACCACAAAAACGCAAAACAGAAGGCATAAATTTACATATGATGAAATTGATAGATCAAATGGGCTAGACACAATCAAACCGCTCAATCACGTCATCACCCGTAGCAACCCCCGGCCCCGGGCTAATCCTAATTGCTGATAAACATCTAAATTGTTCAACCAGACGCGCGTCTCTCTCGTCACGAGGACAGGACAACATCTGTCCGTCTAACGACTGACAGTCATAATGATATTTTAAATGGCACACTGAAAACGCTTAAAAATAATAATTTTTCATTTCGTTTTTAAAGAAAATTCTTTGGCGTGTGTGCATGCATGTCGGAAGACCGGAAATAATTTTCTAGTACCCCGGTATTGCACACCCACCCCCAAATGGTGAAAAAAACTGAGCTGCACTTGTACTATATGACATTTGTCTGTCTCACCGACCATTCTCCCTCTTTTTTTAATGATATCGACAACAGGGACACACAGTTATTTCAGGGTACGAGAGGCCGAGGCCACGAGGACAACCAGGGGCCAGGTGTTCAATATATTTTGTGCTGATAACTCTATAATTTAGCTACAATTGCTCCTTTTGCCCCCGGCATTTGAACCACAACAATTACTGATGATGATAACGGTATGATTGTAGATTTGTTTGAAATGTTTATTCGATTTAAACTAAACCACTAAGTATAACATTTAGATATTAGCGAACTTAGAGCAATTAAATACCACAGAACATGTTTTTTCTCATATAATTATTAAACTGATTAATATGTTATAGATGCAATGACTAGCAAAGCTTGACTAGTTGGATGTTTCCTTTCTCTCTCTATGAGGATTGAGTGCCGTGTCTGTACCTCCTCCTCACATGCCATTGCCGCTGCCATAGATGCTGGCCCCGACTCCAGGATCCGACATATCGGTGGAGCCGGCACTGCCATTGAAATCATCGCTGCTTTGATTACTATTTTGATTTTGATTCGAGTTGGTGTTGTTGTACAGCGGTTGGATCTGTGAGATGGGGCCGCGTGGATCCTCTGGTGTCCAGGTGCGGGCATAAAGCTTGCTGCCCGGATATCGATCGCCCTTGCGATACCAGGACAAGGAATGCGCCACACCGCCTGCTGGAAAGAAGAACAGTTTCAGAGAGTGAGTAAAATGGGGGAAAATGTATCTAGAAATGGGAGCTAAGAGCAGTGTCTTTCTTGACACGGCTTTCCCTCAATTTCCAGACTCTAAAAGATATTTTCCCTAATAGCTACGAATACAAAGACACCCAATCAAGAGTCAAGAACCGCCCAAACAATTAAAATTGTTGCCAAAAACTGAGCAAATGCCATTAGCGGCCACATTACAAGCCCATCAGCGATGCAGAGCAAACAAGCAATGGGCTAAAGGGTTCGGATCCGTTCCGTTCCGCATTCGATTCCTTCCTTCTTGTTGTTGCAGCTGCCGCCCTGCTGTGCCGCACCGCCATTTGCCTTGAACAAACAAAACCAAAGCCCAAAACCCAAACCCAAACCGGAACCCAAAACCCTACCCCAGCTAAATCAGGCGTCCAATCAGCTTGCATCCCAGACAGAGAAAAATCCCACCCGGGATGGGCAATTTGTAGCACTCCAGGATTTCAAGTGCTTTATGCGGGTGTTGCTCAAATATTCGACACCACCCCACAGCTTCCACCATGGTCTTGTTGCAAGTTGGTGTGAACATATGCCAGGCGCGTGCCACACTCCCCCCCACACTGCCGCACTGCCTCTTTTGCACCCGTTCAAATGGGCGTTTCATTGGGTAGTAGCCCCCCGAAAGTTTCCTTTTTTTGTGCGGTTTTATCTACGAGTATATACGGTATATATATATATGTATGTATGTATGTATGTATTTTTGTTTTTGCTGCAACATTTTTAATGCCCGTTAAGCATGAAAACGCTTTTGCCATCAGAGCTCCATGGCTCTGGGGTCCTGCGTCCTGTGCCCGGGTCGACATTCACTTGGCCTTTAAGCGAGCACCGAGCACCGAGCACCGAGAACCTTGTCGACGAAATGGATGGCGACAGTAGACATCTGCTAGAGTGTAACGAATTTCTCACGCTATGATTATGTCGATTGTGCTTTGTTGTTGTTGCCTTTGTTGTTACTATTCTCCGTGTATTTCCCCCCAACTGTCGCTCTATCTATCTGTCCGTTTGTCTGTCAGTCCGTCTGTCTTTCTGTCAATGGTTGTTGGGAGAGGGCAAGGTGTATGGCCATGTGGGGTGATTTTTATCAGGAAAAAAAAAAAACAAATTATACATCAGCAGAGCTTGCTTGCATGTTCATTTTGTTAGGGACTTTATCAGGAGTTCGTTCTTAACCTGCCTTAGAAGGAGGGCAACCAATAATCACAATCAATGCGTTTTTATATACTAAGGAGACGGTTTTCTCCTGGGGTTTGAAAACTATGGGATTACGCAGCCCGATATTAGCCTTAGTCCATATAGTATATTAAGGTAAAATCCTATTATTGGACTAAAAAAGGTCTTCAATCCGACACAGTCTTGAACCGACCTCCACGTCTGCAATGGACACCGTCTTGAATCGATCTAATCCTCTATCGCTAATAATTCTATGGCTATCACATACGCACATTGTCCTACTGGAAGTTATTGAAAAAAAACTTCTTTCCTTAACTTCAATCTATTCAACAATTTTCGGATCATTTTCTTCCCTTGTCGCTAAAAATAAATACCATTCCTTGGGGATCTCCCATTTCCATGTCAAATATAATTTAGCAGATATATACGCCCAATAACGAGACACATAAATAAACCTAATTAATATAGAATATTTGAATTCCTTGAAAAAAACTCCCAAATTCCCAGAGCTCTAAATTTTAATATAATTTAGGTACCTCCTCAACCACTTTACATGATATATTTCCAACAGAAAAAAAAACCCGTTCGTGGACGAACTTTAACCATTCGAAATTTCTGTTTTGACATACAATGGTCGAAAAAAAACCTATAAAAAAAGTTGGGAATACTTTTTAGCTATGCATAACACTCAATGAGGAATCTCGAACCCCTTTTTGCTAGACGCGTAACCCCACATCGACACCCTTTTAGGGTACCAAGTGCCTGGGCTATTAGTTATGCAGATGCTGTGGCCGGAACTCGTTGCAGGCCAGTTGCAGTGTCATACATTTTGAATAGAAAAATTATTAACCAAAAAAACCGTGACCAAAGCAACTTTTATGAGCTGGCACACACACGGAAACCCCTAATCCATAGCCATTGTTTCCTCCCGAAACTTGTGGAAAACCTTTCCAAGCCACAGCCACAGCCACATCCAACATCCAACGGCCTACATCCCGAGTGATCGATGCGACGGCAATGAGCAAAACAATTTCCTTGACTGGCAGTCACGCAAAGCCCCGCAAAGAGAACCGAACCGAAGCAAACCGAACTGAACTGAACCCCCCGTGCGAGAAGTGTGAAAATTCTAATTAGTTACACTTAGGCAGAGACAGAACAGACCCAGAATCCCAAACCATAGCCATGCATCCCCTGCACGATCTGTTGTGAACGACCCAAACCCAAAAACCAGCAACCTTCCCATCGATGATGGCCTTTGAATACGCCAGACAGTCGCCCACCCGTGCGAATTATGTTATTAAATGTGGACTGAACCCACAAGATACCGTATCACTTTTGATTGATTGACAACTTACTGCGATCCTTGAGGATGATTTTCTTGGGCGGTTCCTTTTGGTAATTGCGCTGCAAGCTCAGTCCTGGCTCGTTTCCATTCTTATCCTTCTTGACCATTTCGCTGAGGAATGTTATATAGCTGATGGCCAGCTTGAGTGTATCGACCTGAAAGAGGGGATTGCATTTGAGAGGTTATTAATGGGTGGGAATGATAGACTGATGGCATGAGAGGGTGTATAAACGCTTATGAACGCTTCAGTAATGATCATCCCCGATCCTTCCCCGATTGCTTACCTTACTCAGACGCTTCTCATATGGCAGCGTTGGAATATGAGTCCTCAGTCCCTCGAATGCCTCATTGATGCTCTGCATCCGTCTGCGCTCTCGGAGATTGGCCGCCTGCCGCTGCTGGGCCATCTGGGAGGCGCACTTCAAGCGACGCGGCTTGTGGCTACGCCGTCTAAACGAGAAGCTGGAATTAATTAAAGCCTTGCCCATCGATCCCCCACCTAAACACTCCAATCCTTACGTCTTCTCCGTGTTCTCCTGGTCGCTGTTAAAGCCGCTGCTATAGGCATCGTCCTCGTCATCGCTCTCCGAGCTGTGCTCGTCGCCAAAGAAGTACTCGGAACTCGAGGTGGAGGCATTGGTGGCCTGCGATCCTTCGAAGAAGTGACGCGCCATGGTGGCCTCCAAGTCAAAGTTGTCCATGGAAAACATCTTGCGCCCGAATGCTATGGAATCTGTTGCACACTAATTGGCCGACAAGTGCATAACGGTTAAGCTAACACTTCCGCTTCCGACTGGCCCTGATTGCCGACGCGTGACCAGCACGTGCCGTTCTTCTGGGGAGTGGGTGAACAAATGGGTGACAAGTGTCCTTCTTGACTTTTGATTCTCCCTCTCTCTGGAAATGACGGAATATTAAATAGGGGGTTTATTTGTAGGCTTTTACTGTACTTGTTCAGTTGTTGGATTGTGATAATAAACATGTTAAACAGTTTTTCCGATTAGATAAGATATGGTTTTATTGCTGCTAATAGATATGATAGGTGTCATGTTACATGGATAAACATTTCCGTTACAAAAAGGATCGTTCAAGAGTGCGAAAGATAAGTGTTTATCAGTCTGATGGGGATTTGAATCCCACTTTTGGATGTATCTATATAGTTAAATATATGCAGAGTTAAACTTAATCCTAACGAAGCCATAGCTGAAATATTTTCATAGGAAGTAAAAGGCTTTCCCCCTAACATTTCATATAAACTAACAAAAACAACGGATGTGAGATATTGCATGACGTGTGACCTGCGGTACCTGGTTATAACCACAGATCTTCGTACTTTTATAGATTCTAAATGTAGAGTGGAAAATTTACATCATTTGGTGATCCTAAGAAGAACAAGACGACACATCTTTTAAAAAAGATCGATTTCGCTTCTTCCTTGCCTTTTGCAAGAATCTCGTACCAGGTACAACAATCTCTCATCATTTAGTTTCCGATGAATCAGGGTACCGATAGAATACCGATGGAAGTATTATATAATTCCAATGGTATCATGTGGTAACAAATCTAATCTTCCCTGCTCTTTTGGAATTCTGTACACCAAAAATATGAGTAGACAATCCTTGATTTTACACAGATGCCAGAACATTAAGACAGTGGGTACTGTTTTCAATCACTTATGTATATATCCATGTTCCTACTATCACATATCACGTCAAGTTATAATCGCCTAACTTACCTCACAGACACACCCAAAATATATCCAATGATCGTTTTGACTAGATTGATTTCCAATTTTTAAAATCAATTACTTTTTAGACGTATTAAAATTGCACATCCACTTAAGCACTAAATATTTCAACATACACACACGAAACGAATGACTTTTGCGAACACCCCCTAGACCCTAGATATCCCCTGATATAGATGGAACGTTGCTCAATGCACGGCGGACACTGACATCGAAGCGCGTCCTCGTTGCGAACTCAGAGACAGCCGGAAAGCGAATGCCAGGACTTGTCTGATAAGAAGAGTTCTACACACACCCGAGGGGTTGCAGATACACAGTATTCCGTCTCTATCAATGGCGGTGCGGGCGGAGTTAAATGCTCCGCCAATCGGAAGCGAGGAAACCCAAAGTTTCGGGTGGCGTTTTAAGGGTTGCTATAAGCTTATTAGGAAGCCCGTTCTGTGAAGGTGGGTTGGGTGGCTAGTGGAGTTTTTCAGGCCGTGTTCACATTAAATTGTTTTTTGATTCAGTCGCTCGGTTTATCTGTTTAAGCGGAATTATTGCCCAAGTGCTTGACAATGGAAGAGGTGTTGATATTTCGATGTAGACAAGTGTTTCGCCTGCGGGATTGTGGCACGGGGAAGGGAGGGGAGGGAGCGGATGGTTGTGGCAGCTGCACAAGTTCCACAATGATGTGTCGGAATAATCATCAGCTTGGTGTTCGTTCTTTCACACCAAGTGGATTAGTATTTCCTACAGGCGCCTAAGTCTAATTAATGATTTGTTTCAACCGAACACAAAACTAGTCAAACAAATGCCCAACATAAAAAAAAACAAACGCACACAGACCCAGCAAAAGACCCAATGGAATTTGTCAACCAGCATAATTTTTAAGCATTAGCGGAAAGACATTGGCAAATATTTGCACTGTCTGGGATTTCCACTTCCATTTCCTCAACGGGTAACAGCTCCATTAAAATGCGTTTGGGTTTGCAATATTTGCTGCATATTTTACGGAGCCCAGAACCATAGACAGGGGTGTCAAAATATGCTTGTAGAGCGCCCTGCTCGCCCACCCCTGAATGGCTCTTCCTTCGGAGCTCTCTGTTTGTTGTCCTTTTTCCTGTGCGCCTCTCTCTTGTGTGTCGTGTCTGTTGTTGCCTCATCATCAGACAACCTCACTAGGGATACCATACCATGATAAACAAATTGTTTTTGCCTCTGCGCCCAGGGTCCTTACCCTTAGCCCTAACATCCTATCCATCCGGCCCATCCGTATTCCTGGGCCTTTCTCTGGGCCTTTGTTTCTGCGTTGTTATCGTTGCTCGGCGTTGCTCGTTTTGTGCAGCTGTATAAACAAATTAGTTTCCAATTTTATCAAGTTGTCTTGCGGTGGCATTTGCCTGGGCTGAAAGCTTTAGTTTGGGGGTTTGATCTAAGCCTTAGATAGACCTCCTTTGAGCCCCATGACCTTTAATCATATAGATTTCGTTCAGATATATATTAAATGTATTACAAATAATTTTAAATATAACCCATATTTAAGTTAAATATGAAACCACTCTCGGCTGCAAATTAATGGCATGAATATTTGAATCCAAGCTATAATATTGAAACATCAGAGCGGTTTTCCAATTAATTTACGGCTTTCCAAGTACCAATTTTGCTCATACCATACTCTCTCTAAATCAACCTGCTTTAGCTTTCTGCAGGCATTAGTTCCCACTAAAGAACCCGTACATATACTTGGCTATATAATTAGGGGCCAGCCGTACAGAAAATAAATAAAGTTCCCTACTAAACTGGCCTCGGCACTCGTCGAATTATGCACACGTCATATAGCACAATCAAGCGTAACCGCCTCGACGACCGACAACCCCATGTAGTAGTTGTACCTCCTATACTATAAATATGATCTACCCGATATCATTACACGCAATTGCCCCTGCCGCAAAAGGGGTGGCCGTTGCCCTTGCCAGTGCCGCCTTTTTGGCAAAGTCTTTCTCAGTTCTTTTTTTTGTTATTCCAATTCTAATTAAAAACCCAAATGCATTGTTGAGGCATACAGACACAGAGGTAAAGTAGGATCGAAATGCTTATCACACTGCTCTCGCCCCGATACCCTGTCTCTGTGTGTTGACACTGAGCATTAGGGAGAGCGGACGGATCAGGACGAGGGAAATCCTCTTGAGTGCATGCCTCAACGAGCACTCGGTGGATGGGGATGTGGATTTTAATCTCATTTGAAAAGTTTTTTTTTATATATTCGAAAGTGCAAAAATTGAAATCAACAATGGAAATAGATTTTAATAAAGGGGTTGAGAACAGCACTAAATGGATTAAAACTTTTGAAACGTTTCAAAGAATCATATTGAAGGTTATATTAAAACTTGATCGCCTGAAGCTCTACGACTCCCCAATCTGATATTGGCCATGTCTTGACTATTTCCAAGCCCAATTTGTAACCACATTTCCGGCTATAGGGCGATGTGAGCATTGTCATCACACCCTTTGGTATTTCCATTTGCATATCCTTTAAAATTAGGTCCGATGGCAGCTTTTCCTCCGACATAAGTCGCGCAAAGTCAATGGTATGTTTGAACAATTGGAATGCCAGGCCGCGACACCTAAAGTCGAGATGCGTTGCCAAATAAGCAATTTCCAGAATCGAATCCATTTCCCACTCTTTGTAGATGTTGTAGCTGACTTCGAGATCCCTCCAAAGCTTGTTGTATTTGATCATTTTGGGACATCTGTACTCCGTCAATTCATAAATGCTATACTTTTTTTCGTTCTGGTTAGAAAGAATGTAAAATAAAAGAGAGATCTATCTATCATCGAACCAGAAGAAGACTCACAAAGATTATATTAGCAACTGCTGACACAATTCTACCACTGCACACGTGCCGTATGGCAAAGGAAATGCCACAGGACAGGACATATCTAACTAGTGCACGGAGCTCTGATATGGCTACAGGCGAATCTTTCAGTTTGGTTGCCAGGCATGTCAATTCATGGTTCACCGATAAATCAGTCAATAACTGCGGAAAGAAATGTTAAGTGGATGCAAGAGCCATTACAGAGGATGCCTACCTCTTCAGTTTCATCATACAAGTCCGGCGTGACACGCAGAATCTGATATTTTCCGTCTAAAATGTTTATACAGTCCATGTTTTTAGAACACTGATTTGAAAGCTGTACCTCGACAGCTAATTGTAAATGTATTAATTATTTTCGATTTGCTTCTCAAAGCGTTACTCAGCATGTTCCGGTTTTCTGTTTCTCTAAATTTATTCTAATAACAGAGAGTTTTTGACTTAGAAGAAGTATAATCATCGATAAATTCAAACCCGAAATTATAACTTCGTTATTACAATAATTAATTAAAAGCGGCTTCACCGGAAAACAATTCAAATTCAAACTCAACGGCAAACTCCAAGTGTGACCGTAACTACAGCTAAAAGATATCGAGTATGTAAACTATCGAACAGCACGACATCTGTTGGCTTTCATCAGAAAAGTCTCAAGAAGGCAAATGCTAGCCCACCTCCGCATGGCGTCGGTGGTGTAATGGTTAGCATAGTTGCCTTCCAAGCAGTTGACCCGGGTTCGATTCCCGGCCGACGCACATCTAAATTTTTTGTTTTATTTTAGTTTGTAATATTCGACGCTTGTCGTGCCTTATTTATTGGAAATATCATCAGCTAACTCCGAAATAACAGCCTAAAACTAGGCCGTAACAAAATTCAATTTTAACATCTGGTGTGCTTTGATAAAGCCAAAGCCAAAGATTCCTACAAGGGCAAAGTGGACGGAGAAAAGATATATAACCAAGCCAAAGTTATTATTCGTCTCGTAAGTGATTATCATGAAACAAGTAAGCCATATGAAAAACATGAATGTGCGGGAACTATTCGTTGGTCTTCAACCATGATCACGGTCTTATACACGTAGTACTCATACTCTTGAGAGACTTGCCATATACCCGGTTTTTGTGTGAAGTTTAAAGTTTTAGTGTTCCTATAATGAACACGTAATCTAGTTCTTGCACATTTTTGTATATTTAAGATCATTATACCATACCTCGCCCATGTAACCTTTGCCAGAGCTCTAAATTGGTAGTAAACTGCCTCCATGCCCACACCCCGCCGACCAGAGACAAAAGCCAAAGCCAGCGCGTACTTCCTACTCCAGTTTAGTGTACTTCTAGAACCTGTACGTTGTATGCTACAAATTTCTTCAAGATTTTTTAGAACTTGTATATGACATGTTCGCAGGTCTTATGCAAGGGACTTATGCGCTCGCTAAAACGCTTGCCTTCGAATTCGAAGTCCTCATAGGAAACAGAATTAAGAACCTTGAAATTTGAAGCCCGGCCAACTTTTTGTGAGAAACTTCCACTCCATAGGGCTGTCACAGCCTCCGGACGTTTGGAACGCAGCTGCTCATCAATGTCCTCCAGACCCTTACCCTCCGCAAGCTCTTTAGTGAGTTCTATGGTATAGCTGGCCAAAGTCCGACCCAGTCCCATACGCTCATGGGAGGGCAAGGTGGCCAAAAACATAAGCTCACAGAAGCAATCCATATTGTACATGGCGCAAACATCGATCCTCTCGTCGACCTCAATCATAAAATCCATCAAACGACGGGCCTGGGGACTCTGAGCGACCTCATTGCGGAATTTCAAAAAGAAATGATCCTCGCCAGGCGCTGGGGGGTACTGGAAGAATGTTTATTTTAGGAGCTACAGATATAAAGAGATTCCACTTGCTTACCTGTATTTTGTTAAAAGACACTGCTACAATCCGCTCCGTAGCCACCTCCTTGACCAAAAGAGAAACCCCATCCTTGGCTGTAATATTGCACAACTCTCGTAACTCTTGGCGGGCCTGAGCATTATGCGGTAAATTAATACCACAAGCAATGCAAACTGACTCGTTAATAAAAAATGAACCATCAAGAACCTACAAAAAAGAAAAAGCTATTAATATTCAAATTTTGCAAAAAAGCGAGCTGCGTCGGCCGGGAATCGAACCCGGGTCAACTGCTTGGAAGGCAACTATGCTAACCATTACACCACCGACGCCACGTGGGTCTGTCAGCCCAATGTAGATTTCGTGCTGCCGAAGCAGCGGAAGTCTTCAAAGAAATTCCTACCCACAGCATCACTCCATCGCAAAGACGAAGATTTGATAAGAGCTTGGTTCTTTTTTTTATATTGTGACTTTTGCTCCCATACGACATACGACAAATACATATATATTTTTACTTACATCAAGCGCCTCTTCCAGATCAGCTTCGGTTACACTCTGGACTTTGAATTTGCCTAAAAACACAACCAATTATCATCAATTGAATCAATTGTTAATGATTTACGTTATTTTTGCGAAAATTACACACCATCGTGCAAAGTTCCCCAGACTCGTCCATTATGTGCACGCATTTTCGCACTCTTATCGCTAGACACTCGACGCCAGGCAACCAAAAATATAGAAACAGCTTCGTCAAATGCTGGTTTATAACTGAGGCCGATACAGGTATTTTACTGTTTACACATGCACGCGGCAACAAACTAAACGACGGCTGGAAGTCTATAAAAGATACGAACACATACATATGTACATACATAGGTACCTAATCTAATCGATACAGCACGCGAGCTACCGTTGATTGCCCTAGTATAACCTAGTCCCTCATATTCAACGAATCTTAGATATGGTCACAATAAGTTCAATGTCTTTTAAATTTCTGGCTCTTTTCTTGTTTCCTTTCTTTTGCGATAACAGAACATACGTATACCAAAAGATTATCAAGTGAATTAGGACGATAGGACGGATGTGGATGTATGCAATACGCATTTCCGAATTGAAGAATATAAAAAAAAATAACCTTTTTACAATATAAGAAGAATTTATTTTCGAGACAATTACTTGTTGTTCCAAACAACTCTGAGCCAAGACTAACCTAACTATTTCTAGTCAATAAGGCACGACAACTGTTCATACTGTATTCATTCATCTGGCCACAAGATCTTTTCAAAATCAATTTCTGGCTCAAAATGGGCCTGCGCTTCTTTGAGTTTTTTCCTTGCATTTGAATTATTTTTACTTTTACGATTCTTATAGGCACGAAATACTGCTCTAATTTCTGTCACATAATCATCTTCTGTATAACCATCAACCTTTTGGATTCCTGTGAAAGAAACATACCAAACCCTACATTAGAGAGATTATATAGAAATCGAAATAAAGTTAACGTACGATATATAGCATTATTGAAGTTTTTATACTTCTTGAACGGATATTTGTTGTGGATGCCATCGTAGTTGAATTGGACAAAAAAGTCCGCCTTCATTAGCAGATGAAAGTGTTTTCTCAGACCGCCAGGACGAGGCTTATTTTCGGGCTTTATAATATCCTTCATTGTTTGAAACTGCAAAAGAGAAAGCTATATATACCTATTGTTGTAACCCACTAAGGCACTTACATAACGATTATCCGGATCATTTAGCGCCTCCTCGACTATGTCCAGTTGCTCGATTTCAGTTAGAGGAAATTTTTGTAGCTCTTCTTCTTCAATCAGTGATTCTCGCGACTCGTCCGCTTTACTGCCGCTGTTGGTCAGTTTTCTCAGGGTTTCTATGATCTGCTTTTGGTTTTCCAGCACCATGTCCATTTGCTCGTTCAATCTGACGATCTGTTCGTCCACTGTTATCCGTCCAGGAGGGCTCTTTTCCCTTCGAAACTTGCATATTGTAACGTGGTTGCTAGTGGATTCGCTAACTCGTTTCATATTTGCACATTTGTACAGTGCAGTGTTGCCATTTTAGCCTATTTAAGGCTAGATCTACTTATTTGAAAACGGAAAAGTTTGAAAAATTATGAAAATGCTTATAGCCTTAAATCTAGCCTTTTTCAATTTCACTCTGTTTATGTTTGCCTTTTTATATCCTACATATATTTTTAGGAAAATCGAACAAAAAGTATATTTGTTGTACATATGTTGGTGTTAAATATCGTTAAGACCAAGCTTAGGAACAAAATGACTGTTAAATCCTTAAACTCAATATTAAATATAAAGTTTGTTTAAGTAATATTTAATTGTCTGATGAATACGACTATAATTCTATTGAATTTTACAGATATGGATTGCGCCGTCATGGCAAATGTTTCCACAACTACCAATTACCGGAGAAATATTTAAATTTAATACGTTCCAGCGATAAATATACCGATTCGAGTAATAGCGAGTTGGATAAAATAATAACACAATTAGAAATGTGTATATCTATGTGTTTTTTTTAATTTTATTTTTTTCCTGTTTTTTACAATTTTTAGCTTGTTTTAGCTTGTGTTTTTGTGAAATATAGCTTTTTTTGACGCTCAAAATCTGGCAACACTGGTACAGTGGTAAACACACGGCCTGACCCTCAGAAATATACCAAAATATACCGTCTAATTTTAAAAATATACTGACGAATTATACAAGTTCCATCATACATATTCCCCGTTTTTGATATTCCGTCGAATATTACCAGCTGGATGGAACCCTCAGCCCTGCCCACATAATTTTATGCCATTTATGAATTAATGTTCCACAAGGTTAGCTATTTTTAAGTACTCATTTTTGTTGTATTGTAGCCAAAACAAGTCTTAAACAAAAAAGGCCAACAAAAAAACAAAGAAAAAAAGGTGGCAGCGTAAAAATGTTGATAAAATATCAACATACCGTAAATATACCATCGGCTCAATTTAGTTCACATGTAGCAAGTGTGTAGTTAGCTTGTAGTTCCCATGTAATGAAATGAATTTAATGGAAATTTTTGTTGACCGTTTTTGTTTAAACCTTATTCTATAAGCAAGGCAATAAGATGAAAACTTAATTTTAACCAGTCTTTTAGGAAATAGATTAAGCAATCGGATTAAATTATGAGTTCAGGGCTGGGGGTTTTAGCTAGCTGGTAATATTCAACCGAATATCGGAAACTAGGAATATGATGCAGCTTGAATACAAGTAATTCGTCAGTATGTTTATGGTATATTCTGAAATTTATGAAGTAGCTTCGGTATATTTGTCAGAATTGTTATTGTTGCAAGTTAAATTTAAACAAAAGGCAGCTTGTAAAAAAAGGGACTATAAATAATATTCAAAATCATTGCGGCCACGTTGCCTTGGCAACGAATAGGCAAACAAACGAATTCGTAACTTTGACGATTTTCAGAAGAAGTCTTATAGTCATAATGTTTTTACTGGACAGATTGCTGCCCTTTATATTTAGCTATATAAGGCCGTTTATTAAATGGTTTTTGCACGCCTTTACCCGACTATCGGAGCTGCAGAGAATCTGCTATGGAGCCCGGGCGGGGGCCAGTCGGACGCGACAAGTGGAAAGATCCCTGACATTGTCCAAATCGTATGAAATAAAGCGCGTGGTTCACGACCTGGACGAGGTAGCACCCTATGCTGACAACAGGAATCTCCTGGAGTTCTGTAAGTCTTTAGAAAATCTCTGGTCTACATTTTTCTAATCAATTTATGCATTATGTAGCCTTCCGTGCCGCACGCGTTGTTATGCAGGCAAAGCGCATTAAAAACAATGTCCATCCGGACTTTTCCCGACTCTTTATCAATTGTGTGTCCACCATTTGGGGCTACAGGCGTCTGATGTACCAGATAGAGCAACTGCGGGCCGAGAAATACGATTCGGATAACCCCGAGCACGAATACAAGCTGTTGGAGCTTTGGCAACTGCTGATGCCAGAGGCGCCGCTAACTGGACGCGTAAGCAAACAATGGCAAGACATTGGCTTCCAGGGCGATGATCCCAAGACGGATTTCCGAGGCATGGGCATGCTCGGACTGGAAAATTTGCTGTATTTCGCCAGCGCCTACAACGATGCCGCGAAGCATGTGCTGCTCCACTCGATGCATCCCACACGCGGTTACACTTATGCAATTGTTGGCATCAATCTTACTTCGATGGCCTACAATCTAGTGAAGACCGGCCAAGCAAAGACACACTTCTATAATGTGGTGGCCCTGCATAAGCAGGACTTTAACACTATAGAGGATTTCCATAAATTGTATTGCTACCTATTCTTTGAATTTGATCGATTCTGGATGGAAAGCGATCCGCGCAATATAATGGATTTTCGTGAGATCTATCAGGCGTTTGAAATCACCAAATTAGAGGCCCTGCACAATGAGAATACAATTTTTAAAACTAATTTGGTTGTAGAATCCGTCTAAAAAATATGTGTAAATATATGGCAATGAAGTAGATGTTTGGTTTGTGTAAACATTAAAGGGATTGTGTCGGGGAAAGAATGAATCAATTTCTAATACAGATGAATCATTGGTTAATTTATTATTGGAGTTCTTGCTCAGTCCCCCAGATACCGATTAAGACTGGGCTCACTTTTTATTATAAATGCAGATTTATGCGTTTATTTGAGAGCCATATATTATTATATGTTTATATGTGTATATATATTTAAATATTTTAATGCAAGTTTTAAATGAAACTAAGACTGGAATGTCACATAATAATACTCGTTTTCAAAATTAAGTCAAGATGAGAGATGGGTGTAAATAAATAACTATTTAAATATCACGCAAAAGCATAAAAACTAAACGAAATTAAAATCGATTGAAAGATTGCACAAGAGAGTCATTTGTTTTTGGATATAGCCTATCAAAAATGCATCAGAGTCAAATCCCAAGGCTCAATAGAGGCGCTTGCAAGCTAGTTTTTGTTTTTTGGAATATCAATATTTGTAGTATCGTTTAGCGATAGAATTTAACCTCCGCCTCGACACAGTCCTTGAGCAGCTCGTCCAGCTCGTCGCTCGCATGATCCTGCAGCGAAAAGTAATTGTTCAACTCGTCCACACAAGAGCGCTCCAGACTGCGCAAGTGCTCCAGGGCCGCTGGCTTGCGCTGCGAATGTAATTTGTGTAGGAGCGTTAGTTCAGCCTCTGACTGTACTGCAGTAAGTGGCGAGATCCGAGGCTTGGGGGCGAAAACGAACGGCTTGAACACAGATTCGGCTGCATTGGGCGTGGCCGTAAACCAATGACAGCATATCCCCTTGGCCGAGAGCACAGAAACAGTGGCCGCTCTTGAGCTACTCTCGTTGCTGGCGGCGCGCAGCGTCTCGAACATATCGTGTTGAGTGTAGGTGCCATCGCCCGATGGCTTGGGGCCGCACCAATCCTCGGCTGGTGGCTGTGCCTCGGCATCGTGGGCCGCTGCAAAGCTGGCCTCTGCGTCCAGACCCTCACTGGACTTGTTGATGGTGGTGGTCACAGTCAGACCGCCACTGGGCAGCCGCAGGAAGCTGGACTCCACCTTCTCGGCGGCCCAGACCTTTCCGGCACAGCTGATGAGCCAGGCGGCAGTGGAATCACACGCTATAAAATTGAGCTTGGTTTTATCATGGCCGTGGGTAGCAACCAGCAGCCCAATACGGTCCACGGCAGCCTCCACATCGCTAGACACGGCCAAAGTCAATCTAAAACGTTCATGTATCATGTAAAGAGAGCTTAGAAAGAGAGCCTGATCTGAAACATACCGTACTATATCCGTGCCCAGCAGGCTATCGTTGTCTTTGGCATCCTCCTCGCCATCCGTCCAGGTGAGGCCTACGGCCACGCCGCGTTCGTTGGCCCCGAAATCACCACCCCATAGACCGGGCTTAGGTTTTTGCAATATAACACGCAAGGCGTCTTCGTTGCTCGATTCAGCAGCGGCTCCGCCATCAGTCTGTTAACAGTGCAAATGAGGCGTGAGTCATTGATCGAGTTCGAGTTTCAAGAATTGAAGTTTTACCTTCCCCTCCCCTATGACATCGCTGACATCATAGTAGCATACTTCTTCTGCAACGCCAACAGATGCCTCGTCCTCCGCATTGCGGCCAACAATTAGGGTACCAGAGACACAGTTGGCAGGCAGAACAACAAAGCACTCGCCGTTAGAGGACATTTTTACGGGTTTTTAACGCTTTAAAATGCACAGAACCAGAAAACAGACGACGTTGGAGTTGCAAAATTGATTTTTCCTCCCCTCAGCTGTTTGGGAGCTTTTCGACCGAATATGCGGTCCGACCTTCACAAATATACCGTCTCATTTTCGAAACATACCGTAAATATACCGATGAAAAAACGAACTTAGCCCAATTGAACCACCTTTATTAAAGATGTAAAGGACTTTTATGGATTTTTGAGCTAAAATCAGCCGAGATAAAATCACTGATGTAACTATATACTGTCACACTGATTTTATTGCCACCATGTCTAGCTCCCACACCTTGCCAGTTTTATACTTTTTATAGTATTCTCCAGCTTTTTTTTATCACGACTTATGGGCTTCACCTTCTTGTCCCATGCACCAATATAGAAATCGTGTGTAAATGATGGAATTTGAATACAAATAATTCATCAGTAATTTACTGAATATTTTGGAACTGGGTCGTATTTTCGGTATATTTCTGAAAGTCAGACCGTATATCCATCAATTTCGCGGTCACACTGACGGTCGCGGATATTAAGTAGCAAAAAAAACGTATCGAGCCGAGTGTTTTCTCGGGAAAACTCCCACTTGCAGAATTATAGCAATTAGAATACCGCAATCTAGTTAAGGTGGCTAACAAATTCGCGTTGTTGGTTTGTTGTTACAAGTATCGCGCATCGATAGGGAAAATCGTCTATTGCATTTGTATACAGAGCAGGTGGTGTTGTCTCTCTCAGGCTTGCACGCTCGCTCCTGATGTGCGAGCGAAACAACAACAAACAAGTTACAAGGTGTGTGTTGGTGTTGTAAATACAGTCGTTGTTGTTGTTGTTGTTGTTGTACGGTGCTGGTGGATGTTCAGCGCCTTTTTTTTGTTCGTGTGTTGATTATTTTACTTGCGTGCGTTTGCTTCTCGTGGGCGGCTGTTGGGACGATAAAACCGTGAAAATATTTGGGAAAAAGTAAACTAACAGCCCAATAAACGACAAGTGCACGACCAGCTCGCTAAGGCTGGTTAAAGTTCAGCTCAAGTGTCAAATTGGGTAAAGAAAATCAATATTCGCTGTGTGAAAAGGTGTTTTGTTAGCGCCCCAATCAGAAATCTACATATTACTGTGTGAAAATAGTGTAACAAAAAAAGAGTGGAAAGAATTTCAAGTTTTTGGTGATCCTCCCTCCCTCCCCCCAACCGACGCTCCCAAAAAAAGAGATATTTCTTTATATGCGTTGCTTGACCACTTTTGACCGCGCGCATTTTGCCCTCGCCCGAAACTAGTTTTTTTATACAATTTGCCTTTTGATGACGTTTTAAAGCCGTGTTTTTTGTGTGTACGGTACAAATTTAAAGCAATTTTCCCAAAAAATCAATAAATTCAAGCTTCGAGTATACACACATTTTCCGTTTGGAGAAATTTAACATGCTTTAAGCGAGAAAAACGGATGTGGGAAACCACCCTCGCACTCTAGCCGCCCCATTGACTCCACTCGCCCCCCCCTCCATTGAGAGCATCTTTGGAAGGAAGAAAATATATAGAGTAGAGTGCCGTGTCGCTTATATTCCTCCCCCAAAAGCACCTAACGCGCCCCCTTTTGCGGCATTTTATATATGTACAGATGTACGCATATATGTAACATCTTCTGTATATGTGTGTTGTATGTTTGTGTGTATGTATCTGGCTATGTGATCTGTAGGCGTGCTCCGTGGAAAGTGCATTGCTCCCCCTTCTCTATCCGTCGCCCCATTATTGTAAACATTACAAAAGCGGCATGCAGAGCGGCGGCCTCGTTTCATGCATAGAGGTGTGCGCGTGTGCGTGTGTGTTGTGTTCTTTTACACCGTTAAAGTTAAAGTTCTCGCGCAGTCGGTGTGTTTTTCGGCAGTTGGCAACACGTTGACCCAATAACGGTAGAATAAGAACTTCAACTCTCGCTCACACGCAAACACACACACACATACTAATGAAAGCCCATATGCATGAATGAAGCAGAAACAGCGCCCGCATGCCGTTAATACTATTATTGTGAAATCTCTGCAGATGCTGCGGCGGCGACCCACATAATCCCGCTACTTATGTTCCTGTGCATGTATGTATGTATGTAGCTGCTGCACAGTGGAACCAAAATTAGCCCCTGATTTGTAATGCAGCGTTTTTCCTGTTTTATTTTTGGTGCTGCCTTTTGTTTATATCGAGAGAGCGATTTTTCGTTCAAGTTCAATGAACCAGCAACCAATGGAATGCCTCGGGTGTTTAATGTGTGTGTTTGTGTGCGTACGCGTAGGTTTTTTTGAGTGTGAGTGAATGTTACCAAAATTTGTTGACCGTTTTTATCACCGTCAATAAATTAAATATCAATATGCGGTGGCAACGTGTGCTGAGTTGTTTATGGTCATTTTTATTTACATAAATGATTCAACAGAAAAGAATTGCGTGGCTTATTAAAACGTCGGCGAAATTACCTTGACATTGAGAGATTTTCATGTACAACAGTGCCATTGTGTGAATGTGTGTTATTGCGTGTGTCAATATTTTGCGAGTGGAGCCCATGCCCCAAGGTATCTTAAAGTGAAGGTAAGGCATGCCTGCTCTTCGGGTAGCCTATTTTACTACCCTCTCGCTCTCATTGTGAAGCTCTCGCATACCGAAGCAGGTGTGCAGGACAGTTGTCTGACTGCCTTACCTTCTTTGTTTGACACCTTGCCGTGTGCTATCTCACTCTCAGACACTTGTATTGAAGGCCACCAGATTTTAATTGCATAATGCTCGAATTACACTACACTCCATGCACACTGCAATGTGACACCTCCGTCAATATCGATAGCTTGGCGCCGCTTTATCGGTAAAGAAACCGGGAATAATACGTATATTTCTTTCTCCTCATCCTTTTTGCAGTTCCAACACAATTCCATCTTCATTCAATGCAAAACTGGAGCTAGACTCCAGCAAAGACGACACCATTCACTCCGCAAACTTGAACAAAAAACTCGTCAAGATTAAAAAGTTCAAGCTGGACGATATGAAGGAAATGGTGGGCGGCTGTTGTGTTTGTTCGGACGAGCGGGGGTGGCCGGAGAACCCGCTCGTCTACTGTGACGGCCAAAACTGCATGGTTGCCGTGCATCAGGCATGCTATGGCATCGTGACGGTCCCCACCGGACCCTGGTATTGTCGCAAATGTGAATCCCAAGAGCCCGCCTCCCGCGTCCATTGCCATTTGTGCCCCTCAAAGGACGGGGCGCTCAAGAAAACAGATCAAAACAAATGGGCACATGTGGTGTGTGCTCTGTATATACCCGAAGTGCGATTCGGTAATGTCACCACCATGGAGCCTATACTCATATCGCAGATACCGGAGGAACGCTTCCACAAAGGTGAGTGGAAATGGTGTTCTTTAGAGCTGGGATTTGATATAGAATTTGGTATTTTACAGCCTGCTACATTTGCATGGAGATTGGAAAAAGTGGCCGTTCCACCAAGGGTGCCTGCATGCAGTGCAACAAATCCAATTGCAAGCAACAATTCCATGTCACATGCGCCCAGAGCCTGGGTCTGCTCTGCGAGGAGGCAGGCAACTATTTAGATAATGTGAAGTACTGCGGCTATTGCCAGCATCATTATAGCAAACTGGTGAGTATGTGGGGGGAATATAATTATGATCTCCACACTAATATGATTGCAACTTTGCAGAAAAAGGGCGGCAACGTCAAAACCATACCGCCATACAAACCCATACAACATGACACCTCATCCGATTCGTGTTCGTCGCCCGAGAAGGATATTGACTCCACAATGAATGCATCAGCTACCTCGGCAACGAGCATTAAGATAACCAGCAGCAGCAGCGGCTGCAGCACTGCCAACAGTAGTGCCTTGAACGCCAGCTCTTTGGGGGCAGTCTCCGGAGGCGGCAGCGGCAGTGGTGTGTCCTCATCGTCCAAGCAGCGCAAGAGCAATGCATCGGGCAAGTCATCGAGCAGCAGCAGCAGCAGCTCCTCATCATCATCCACGGGAGTGGTGAATCCCACCTCCAGTTCCGCAGGTTCGGGCGGAGGCAGTAATCTGCCAGTCGGAGGAAGCCTACTACCATCGAGTAGTAGCACTAGCAATATTAGTAATAGTACCAGTACCAGTCTGCCGGCTGGCACAGGAGCAGCAGCAGCTGCTGGCGGAAACGTGGCCGGTGGCAGCATAAGTGCAATAAATCTACCTTCCTCCGGCAGTGGCTCTGGCTCTCAGAAGGCCTCCGCCACCAGTCAGTCGACAACATCGGCAGCCACCACAACAAAATCCTCGGCCAGCAGTTCGAGCAGTAGCAGCAGCTACAAGGACAAGCATAGCAAAAGCTTGAGCAAGCAATCAAATTCAAGCAAGGAAAAGGATAGCAGCAAGGACAGCGGAAACAATCCCCCTAGCAGCAGCACGAGCAGCAGCTTATCGAATTCAACAGCCACCTCAACATCTACTAGCTCCTCTTCGTCGCGGGAGAAGTCTTCGTCGAAGTTATTGAAAAACAAGGACACCACACCCATTCAAATGCCAAGTGCCACAAGCAGCAGTTCGAGTATCAGCACATCCAGCAGCAGCAATACCCAGCCGAGCAACAGTTCGTCAACTCTAACAGCCGCCATTGGTTCTGCCGCTGTAAGCAGCCCTGTGGCTGCCCTATTCGCCGCTGCATCAGCCAATATCTCGAATCATGCCCAAAACCTAAGTACGAATGGAGGAGCAGGCAGCAATGTGAGCACTCATCTGAATGCCAGCAGCAGCCGCAGCACGGGTTTCGGTACAGAACTACGTCCGGGCAGCAGTAATTTGAATGACTCTTCTTCGGTCATTGCGGCAAGCAGCAGTGCTGACAGTTTACCAGGCGCTGGTTCGTCTGCCAGTAATCTGACTGCAGGCCTGGGCCAGGGCTCAAGTGGAGGGGGAACAGTCTCCTCCACTGTGGCCACTAATTTGACCACAAGCAAGGCCTCCTCATCATCTGCAGCAACCTCGTCGTCGTCTTCCGCCAGCAATCCCACACAAACCACGAGTGTGGCATCGAAAAAGCGTAAAGCCGATTCGGTGAAGCAGTCAAGCGGCAGTGGCAGTGGCCCACCACTCATCGCTCCATCAGCCTTGGACGATAGCAATAGGTGGGCTACGAGAACGGCAAAGAAAAGGTCTTTTATATGTTACAATTTTTCCAAATTTAGTTTAGAAAGGTTTCCCAATGTCCACTGATAAATGATACGCTTACCAGCGAACAGCGGAATGCCTATACCTCCGATAATTATCATTTTGTAATTTGTTTAATAGTTGTAAACGGCTCTCAACGGAGAACCGAGTTTGTTTAATTGTAGAAATTATCAATCGAATCGACTAACATCGTATGAGACCTATTTTCTTACCCAAAAAATCAATCATCTCTGTACAAAATATTTATTGATTTCTGTTTCTATAAATCTATAGTTCATTTCGCGAATTGATCAAGGATACACACGTGACTCTGACGGCACTAACAGATTTTGAAAAGGAAATAGAAAAGAGCTCCAAGAGGGTAAGTTTTATTCCAACAAATTGTTTACCTTTAAGTATATACATTTGTTCTATAAATATACTGATAAACAATCGAATATATAAAGAAAAGAGAATGGAAAAGCTTTTCCACTCTTGAGCTGTAGATTTTTGTATCTCTTGAGTGACTTTTCGTTATATTTTGCGATCTCTGTCGAGTGTTTCTCCCTCTCTTTCTCTGGCTAAAATGTTGCATTTTGAATGATGTTTTACACTTGTCTCGAGCATGTCATGTCCACATTGTTTGCCAGAGAGAATACACTATAATATTAGTAATAGCAAATATCTATATATTCGTTTCACTTGCCAAAAGTTGAAGGCGCAGGCGCTTTCTACCGCTCTCGTATCATATTTATAGGTGGAAGAAGAAATGCAATTATTTTTTGAAAAGAGCAAGGTGTGCGTGGAATTGTACAAAGGTGGGATCTCAAAGGAATTCCTTGTTCTTCCATATTACCCTTTAAAGTATTTTGTGGGGGGATATAAAATTTGGATTCGGAGAATCCATTTTGCCCAAACTATTATTAAAATTCCAAACACGAATGGAATATTAACATAGAAATGATTATGGGCTTTCATTTTTCTTTCCTGCTTATACACTACCGATTTGGATACACAGATCGGGCGTAATGCAGCATATCTCAACGGTCCTTCTGCGTTTCGTTTCCCCCTTTCTAAATGATGGGTACCTTACAGTCTCATAGTATCTCTTTCCCGCTTGTCTACTTATATTTTCCCCCATTTGATTGATGTACATTCGACGTTACCCCCATGCCCCATTAATTTTCTGTTTGAATCACAAAAATGCATGGCAAAAATACCATTGAATTGAAATTTAATTAAATGCAAATGTGCATGTTAATTTATTGATCGACATCGACTTTGAGCCAGACAGCAGACACTACCACATTGTTGATTCAATAGAAAAATATATATACACGTCTCTTTTTGCCTTGTCATGAGAAGAGCCTCCACCTGGAAAAATTCTGAAAAATTCAGAAAGAAAATGTTTCATAGATGAAATTTATTGGAATGTATACGCAAGTATATTTTGTGATTTGTTGGGTTTGTTGGCTCATTTATTGTTGTTTTTTTCTGTTGAGCTGATGGTAGAATTGTTGTCTATATTCTCATCCCTATCGTGTGGCTCTTGGCGACATATCGCTGTGGTTGTCGTCGTTGTAGCCGTTGTGCCGTGTGCAGACAAGACTCATAGGCAGCGCCACAGCGACAGCATCGAGAATTATGACAATTTTGCAGAGCGATCAGTCGAAAATCGTTGTTAATCGAAGCTAAAACTAAAATTAAGAATACTTTTTTCCTTTGCGAATCTTATTATTACGAACGAAAAGTAAATATTAGAAACCATCATGGATTAAGGGACAATCCCCATACCCCATCCGCAGCTCATATAATCCAAATATTCAAATAATTCAGTGCCTGTGCAAAAATATCGGTTAAAGCAATCCAGTTTTGTCCTCAAGTTTTCCAGTTTAATTTTAGAAATTGTGTGGTATTATGGCTCACATTTTTGTGACCCACAAAAAGTGGAGGAATGCGGTGTGTGGCTCCACAGAGGAAGCAGCGCTGATTCCCACTCCTACTCTTATTTATAGATTTGGATATTTTTTAGTGGAAAAAGCCTACACACGCAGCTGTCTGACTCAATGAAATTTGAATTGTCTATGGGGAGTTTTCTATATTTCAGTACAGCGGACAGTAGAAAACAGTTTAGTACATGTACTAAATGTGGTACACATTAAAATACTCCAAAATTATTCAAGTTAAAGCTAAGACTGAAATTTGTGTGATAATCGAGGATGTTCACAGCACTTTAGACCACAACATATGAGCTAAAAATGCATTTGTTTATAAATCAACAAAAAATTTACTTCTAACAAATTTTAGATCATGGAAATTTGACTCAATCTATATAGAAAGCTAAAGGAAATTAGTGTATTAAACACTATCAAAAACACCTAAAGCAGTTTAGATCAAAGAATGGATCTCCGGTTTCAGCCTTAATTAAAATCAGTAAGAAATTCTTGTACTAAACCCTAAAAGGAAGACCTAAAGAAGTTGAGATCACGGAAATTTGTGTTAATAATCAATCTATCTTCAAATGAACAAGAAAATCATATAATAAACACACTTGGAGACTCCTGAAACAGTTTAGATCATGTAACAAAGACTAAGAAAAACAATCCGCTTAAAATTATTTAGTTAGAAAACAAAACAGAAATGATAAGAAGAAATGCTGAGGGGAATCCAAAAACTTGATGTTGTCCATAAATTCCACATCAGTAATGTTCTAAAAATATTTAATCATTGAAATTTATACCCCAATGAGTTAACAAACAATTTAGTTAAACGTTTCGTATGATTAGATTTCAGTATTTAGCGTTTAAATTCATAGAAAATATAGCCTAGGGAGGGTATAAACAAATTCCCAGATGCTTAATTACGTTGATTATTGTACGTGTACTCCCAACGAGAAAATGCAGCGACCGCAAACTTTATGATCTTGCGCCCTCCACACCCCAGGGGGAAAACATTTTCACACAACATTTTTACCCTCAAAAACTAAGCGAACATAAAAAACACAAACTGAAACGGCAAGAGGCAAGAAGAAGCGATTGTAGTGAAAAACACAAAAAATACAAGTTGAAAACCGCAGAACTGCTGCTGCTCCCCAATACAATCATAATATTTTCCATCCCACTCTCTGGGCGAGATGATATTAGATGAAAAACTGAAAACTGAAAATGAAAACGAAGGAAAAGTGCTCCGTGTTGCTGCTGTTGCCGCATCTAAAGTTTCTCAACTCAAAAAAACTGAGCAGGAAGAATCATCTCGGACTCGGCCGTGCCGTGTGCACTCAGAAATATATAGATTAGTTTGCTTTGAGCAATCTTCCAGTTCAGTACTCGGCGCTTCCGTGTGTGGTTTTAGTGCGTTGTGTAGGTTCCCGTCTCCGTCATATATCTATATCTAGACACAGCTTTTAACCGATATTTGCACACGTCTGTAAATTGCACCAAACCCCCGACCTGCATTTCCGACTCTAATCTAAACCATCCCCAACGATCCCTAGAAATCATAGACTGTGGTGATTCAGATCTCAAAAGTGTTTTTAGTACACAGTCTCACACACATCACATCCATATATCTGTCATAGCCTCGCGGTCACTTTTTTGTGTGTTTCTACCTGTCTGGGTTTTATTTTTATACAAAGATATTCTGTATTCTGTATAGATACACATTTATTGCTCATGTTTTTCTGTGATGTTTAAAGAATTTTCTCTGAATTTTTGCCGAGAAAAAGTGAGAAAGATAGAAGGGAAAATCTTCATTAATATTACGTGTACGTCTGTGGTTGGGTTGGGTAATTTTTCTAGCACCAGGCGATGACGTTTTTGACGACTGACAGATAAGGTTTTTGATAGATGATCTACAAACTGTAAATTGAGGGATAAATTAGTGAAAAGATCATTTTGATTTTTCAATGAACGCAGACAAGATGACCCAGATGAGGGCCACCATTGGATTTCAATTGATTTAGATCATACACTAAAGGTGGAAGAGTGTTTAGGTATTTATAGTATGCACTGAAACATTTTCAGTCTTTAAAAAACAAATTTGCATAAAGAAAATAGAGTTTAATAGTGATCTAAAAATTTAGATCTGTGCTAAAACTTATTTTCGCCATACACGATCGATAAAAGGGTCTTTTATTGATTTTAGTACTGGTATCTTGAATTTAGACATGTGCTAAAACGTACTAAATGTACTAAAACCTGTTTTAACCGCTAACAACTGAAAATCAGACACCTTTCATCGCTTCCATCACCCAGCCAACGCTTTTCGTCCCACAACTCCACGCTAAAGCACCACGATTCGATTCTATGTGTTCTCTTCTGCTCTCTTTGTGCACTTTCAGATAATAAGAATAGTAATTTGTACTCTCGAGTAGATCCTTTCGATAGCGAACACACACAGAAAACGAAAACAGAAATGCCTTTCCAACCGATCGAGGCCCCCAAATGTCCGCGCTGCGGCAAGAGTGTGTACGCGGCCGAGGAGCGTCTGGCCGGTGGCTATGTATTCCACAAGAACTGCTTCAAGTGCGGCATGTGCAACAAATCGCTGGACTCCACCAACTGCACAGAGCACGAGCGCGAGCTGTACTGCAAGACCTGCCATGGACGTAAGTTCGGACCCAAGGGCTACGGATTTGGCACCGGCGCCGGCACACTCTCGATGGACAATGGACAACAGTTCCTGCGCGAGAACGGCGAAGGTCCGTCGGTGAGGAATGGCGCACGTCTGGAGCCCCGTGCCATTGCCCGTGCCCCCGAAGGCGAGGGATGCCCACGCTGTGGCGGCTATGTGTATGCCGCCGAACAGATGCTGGCCCGCGGTCGTGGCTGGCACAAGGAGTGCTTCAAGTGCGGCAGCTGCAAGAAGGGTCTCGACTCGATCCTCTGCTGCGAGGCGCCCGACAAGAACATCTACTGCAAGGGCTGCTACGCAAAGAAATTCGGCCCCAAGGGCTACGGCTATGGCCAGGGCGGCGGTGCTCTCCAGTCCGATTGCTATGCTCATGACGATGGTGCACCGCAGATCCGTGCTGCCATCGATGTGGACAAGATCCAGGCGCGTCCCGGCGAGGGCTGCCCCCGTTGCGGTGGCATGGTCTATGCCGCCGAGCAGAAGCTGTCCAAGGGTCGTGAGTGGCACAAGAAGTGCTTCAACTGCAAAGACTGCCACAAGACGCTCGATTCGATCAATGCCAGCGATGGACCCGATCGCGATGTCTACTGCCGCACCTGCTACGGCAAGAAGTGGGGCCCCCATGGCTATGGTTTTGCCTGCGGCTCGGGCTTCCTGCAGACCGACGGCCTCACCGAGGACCAGATCAGCGCCAATCGTCCCTTCTACGCCGCAGACACCACGTCGATCAAGGCGCGCGAGGGCGAGGGC